GTAATTGAGGCTGCAGTGCTCGAACACTGTACCTTTGATTTAATTCTTGGCGCTACTTATGTATTTTTAGCAGAGCTGAAGAAACCTTCAGAGCATCTTGCTGCGGTGACCACCCGAGCACAACATAAAAGTGCCTTAGAGGATTCTCCTCATGTAAATCCTCTTCCTGAGGAAATTAAGGTGGCCCAAAGTAGTGACCCAACCCTTAAGGCATGTTTTAAAAAGTTAACTGCAAGTCACAATCCCCCTTTGAAGAAAGAATTCTTCATGAAAGGTAAGTTGCTTTACAGATGGGCAAGTGACAAGTATACAGAGCACAGTCAACTTGTAGTACCCAAAACATATAGACAGTAGATTCTCCAGATGGGGCACACGATAGCCTATAGTGCCCATATGGGAATTCATGCAACGACACAACGCATTGCCTGCCATTACTTTTGGCCAGGTATGTCAGCAGATATCATGCGTTATGTCAAATCCTGTCCGGAGTGCCAGAAGGTAGCTCCCAAAGGCAGGAATGCACCAGTCGGACTGGGGGAAACCCCTGTCACCTCCACACCTTTTGAAAGGGTGGCGGTCGATTTGGTTGGACCACTTCCTCTCACAAAGAAGAAGAATGCTTACATATTGACCTTGGTCGACTGTTGTTCAGGGTATCCGGAGGCTGTTGCACTTCGGAGGATTGACAGTAAGACTGTGGCAGAGGCATTGATGAGCATTTTCACCAGAGTGGGATTCCCTTCGCAGATACTGACAGACAATGGATCTCAATTTAAAGGGAAACTAATGGAGGAAGTGTTTCAGATAATCAAGTCTCAACACATTTGCACCAGTCCATACCGACCCCAAGCGAACGGCCAGAATGAGCGGTTCAATGGAACGTTGGTATCGCTTCTGAGAAGATTAACCCAGGAAAAGCCAGAGAGGTGGGACGAGTATCTGTCTGCAGCACTATTCGCCTACCGGGAAGTACCCAATGCCTCTACTGAATTTCCACCTGCGACCTTGGTGTTCGGAAGACCCATTTCTGGACCCTTGGCCATTCTCAGGAAGACATGGACAGACGAGGGGGCAGATGATTCCTTGAAAACCATATCACAGTATGTGCAGGAACTCAAGGAACGGTTAAAGCTAGGGTGGGACCTGGCTAAAGAGAACTTGATTCGTGCACGTAAGAGGTACGCTGCACATTTCAACCGGAAGACGAAGGAACGATGTCTTGAGGTTGGAGATAGGGTGCTTTTACTGCTACCATCAGGGAAGTCTAAGTTAGAGTTAGCTTGGGGAGGCCCTTATACGGTGGTAGAGAAGATATCCAGGATCCATTATAAGATCAACATTAAGGGTAAGTCAAAGGTCTATCACATTAATCTCCTCCGGAAATACAACGAGAGAGAGATAAGTGACACACCGACCCTCTTGACACTTTCTGTAGCTATGGAGGTGGAAGGTGGAGAAGCCACAGCGGTGGAATATCCTCTTCACCCCAGGGAGACCTATAAAGATGTAGAGGTTAACCCAACTCTCTCTGTCTCTCAGAAACAAGCTATAGGACAACTCTTGTCAGAGTATAACTCTGTCCTGAGAGTTAAGCCAGGGCAAACTTCATTATTGGAGTATGATACGACATTGGTTCCTGTTGAGCCTTTCAGTCAATGCCCTGTGCAAGCTTCTCTTTTTAAAGGGGAATGGAGTAAACCTCCAGACCATCAGGAGGACTTGAAGGTGAAGAATTTTCAATTCACACCAGGGTTCCTACCTGTGTTTGTTGGAGCACATAGTGACGAGGGGAGGATTATCCTTCCGAACCTCGCGAAGGATCAGACGGGAGGGATTATATCCCACATGCCTCGACGACCTTCCTGTGTGACTACTGATGTAGGAGACACACCGGTATATTTCCTGAATATGACAGGAGTACCAGGATGGTGTGTAGGTTTATTCAGCCAACCCGACCGGGGGGTTCGGTCTGAACCTACATCTTTGCATGTACCTGGCTGGGATCAGTGATACATGGATGGAGTCATCAGTCTTAGGTCTTCAGGGCCATAGACTGAGTCTATATAGATTCCTTGTTCATTAGTATTGTATAGTGGTCATAGGTTTCTCTATTTTCACATGATTATCATTATTGTAGATATTTCATCTGTCTCTGAGAGGTTGGGTTGGTCAACTCTTCGATTCAGAGCAGATTTCTTGAACCGCCATCCCTTGTCTGATAATTCACAGACTGAAGGTGATGAGCAAGCTGAAAGTAGTGAGTCCATAGATGTGTAAATGGCTGATCATTTTTCATTCGCGTAGTACGCTCTTCCCTTTGGGGGGGGGGGGGGGGTACTGTCGTGAAATGATAGCCATTACGCATCGGTCTGTAAGGCTTATAACCTGTCTTACCTGTAATCTGCACAAAATTCAAACTTGGACTCGCCCAGAAATATATAGTCCCTTATATCTATATATATAGGCCTGTATTGGACAACATTATTATGTCTGCCTTTTCTGGTTACTTTAACTAAACTCCACTTTTAAATGTATATCTCTTGGGGATATATTTAGGGAGTTAATTGAGGTTTCTTGGAAACCGATTTACTCCTTGCCCCAGTATACAAGGAACTTCTTTTGTACCAACGCCTGAAATGTCTAACTGACGCCATTCTCCTTGCCAGCTTCTCAAGCCTCCAGATGTGTTAATCTGTGCCTGTATAACTTTCAATTTTGAAGGCAATCTGGAAATGTCTCAGTTTTTACATATGCTTGGGTAAGTTAATTATAGTTTACGAGTACCTAGAATGATGTCTGTAAAGTAGTCACTGCTGTAGAGAAATCCATATCGGCTGTGTGATCTCACTTAGTTCTACCATTCTTGATCGCTAGAGTAGCGGATTCGAACGTAGATCTTCCACTGTACAGACTAAATAGCTTATGCCCTCAATAAACCACTCATACTGATAAACATTTAATGCCCTTACAATTGTGTACGTTTTAAACTACTTACAGAATCTGTACATACGAGATGGGGACAGAATTGGGTCAGGGCTGTGTTAATCAAAGTATGTGTGTGCTTGACCCAGATCAATGAGTGCTGGGGCGGTTGGGAAAACTAGTGAATGCAGGTACTGACAGTAAATATTGGTGTCTGTGTGCATAGTGAGGGGGAGAGGGAGAGTGATATATGTGTTAGACCACTTTATCTATCTCCACTGTATATCTGATTTACCTTCTCTTGCACTAAACAGACAGATAAATATAGGAGACTTATGTCTTTTGGTCTGGAGAGGCAATCTGAGGAATGAAACAGGAGAGCAGGGGGGAGAATGCAGATGGGGGTTGATGACTATGCTTGTTCTGTCTTTCCTGTCAAGATGTTACCCTCTTGATGATGACTAATGTTGAGTTATTTTCTTGACAGGATGTATATTTTCTGAAGAGCTGGCAGAAGATTCACAGTCTCACCATCATCCACCCACCAATCCAACCACCAGAACCAACTTGTTACCCACCAGCTAACACCTGTGAAGGTTCCTGACATCTCCAGAATGGGGGAGATTGTGCCTCAAACAGCTACCAGTGCTAGAGCTTAATGTGGCTCAAAGACATTGTGTGTCCTTACTGGTGATAGAGACTTGCTAAATACCAGTACAGTTGCTGTACAGTGAAGTACTCTTGCTACTTGATCCAGTGGAGCAGAATTCCCAGAGTCAAAGACAGTCAAATCATCCGGAGCTGAGGGAGGCATCATAGACAGAGATAAGAGAAGATAAGTCTAATGCTTCGCATGATGTTGTGTTCCTCACAGCTCCCTGTGTCCAGTGATGAAAAGATGTCATCTCCAAGACCTTCTGTCTGTGTAGTATCTGTTTGATTTGGACATGATATCCTGAGATCTGGCATTTGTCTCACTTTTATATATTTAATTTATATTGATTACATACATTCATTTTCATGGCTGACTTAGGTGTCTCTATTTCACCTTTTTAAGTGTTTAGCAGTGTATATGTATGTGTATCTTCATTATATGTGTTAACATGGTTATAATAAGGAACTATCATAACCTGGGGGCTTTCTTTAGTAAGTAGTGGGGGTGTCCAGCCAAGTGTGCCTAGAGATATTGTATATATATATATACTGATATATTTTGTAGTGCCAATACTTGAGTTGCCCTACTCCAGAGATAAGTTGATCGTATATTGGCCACGGGGAATCCCTTAGACCAATACGAGCCAAACGACTCAACATAATTATCTCTGAGTGCTGCTGGTTCTGAAGGAGAAATCCTTACATTAGGCACGCGACAGGAGTGATATGTGACAGCTTCGGCCAGCCTCAGCATTCGCCTGTTCGGTGGGTGTAAATCATACACAAAGCACTGCCCATATCAATGAATATCCAGAATGAAGCAAATAACATCCTATAGACGAGATAATTTATTTCCTCTTGATTGGCCTCAACTCTCCTGTAAGTAAAAAACACAAAAGAAAATAAAAGAAAAGGACCCTTTTCCACGCCTTAAGGCGCATAGGGCATATAGGGCTATACCCATTTTTTAGGCCAATCAGCACAAGATGGATGGTGTGGCTAGCATCACGCTGACCGCCTTTACTTCCTGGTACTGCACCCAGTACCCACTTAAGGCTGGGTCGACCTTGGAGTCAAGGTCATTTTTCCAGAAAGTCTGCCTCCGCCAGGGAGCGAACCCACGACCTTCCCATCTGCAAACGAGCGTCTAGTCGCTACGCCACGGCGACTACTTAAAACTCTTGCCGGGAAAACATTCTTTTCGAGAAAATTATTTTGAATTAATTATTTCATTCATTCATATGCTTGATCAATCCACACATTTTCAGCAATTATGATGTTGTTAAAACACGGCAAGATTATATTAACCACGAGCGTCATGTTTCAGCGGCAGTTTATTTACACATTACCGTCACTGCTAGTTTGTTGATTTTATGAAATATATATATGCAGAGCACACGAACTCCCTTCTCTCTTCTTTGTAGGTTGGCTGGAGCCTTTGTTACACAGAATAAAACAAGATGATACCGTCATAGCCATCCCACATATTGACCCAATTAAACACGAAACATTTGAGGTATTTCATAAAGCGTTCGGTAATCGTCATCATCATCATCGTTGTTAACATCATCGCCATTATTATCAGCAAGTTCCTCATATGCCGGTAATTGTCACGTGGAGAAACGGTTCGCGGTCTATTCCTTGATGTGTGGCACTGACTATAGCCATTTTGTGAATGTCTCTGAAGTTGTCAATTCATCTTTTCTTTGGGTGTCATATTGCTTTCACATAAGATTTTTTTAAATTAGACATTGCACCTGTTGTGTTTGCAGTATAACAAAATAAAACACAAATTTGAATCGCTTCTGTATCAAACTAGTGCAAGATGTTGTTTCACAATCTTCTTGACAGTACAATTTCTCTTTGGGTCTCGGACTGTTAAATTGGCGGTTTTCCTTGTGTGTGTGGGAGAGTGTGTATGGGGAATGATTGGAACGGGTCAGGGAACAGTCGATTTAAATGTCACTGTTCTCGGAACTTTTGGCAACGTATGGTTCAAATATTGGCAATATTAGAATTAAATGGTAAATGGAGCCTTGACAGACAAATGTGTGGGGTAGTATAACTGGTCAGGGGGCGGTGAGAGCCTTATGTGCACTAAGGGGCAACGACTTAACATACCGCAACGGAAGAGACAAGATGAAAAAGAAGACGGAAGATATACAGTGTTCTATCATTGTGCTGGGCGAACCCAGGAAATAATATCTAGTAATTAATCAATATTTCAATCTCAGATGACTTAGAAAGTGTTTCTACCCTCTCAAGATGCATTCTTTTTTTTTTTTTTTTTTTTTTTTGTAGTTGATGACTATCCCGAATGCTAGAAATATTTTTCAGAAGAAAAAAATTTTTTTTTTTCTTCAAAAGCTTCCTTCTTTATCAATATCTCATTAAGTACTTACATTTTACTCTAAAGTTCACTCGTATCAACAGGATAGACTTCATTGCTAGGACACTCAAGTACAACACTTCACTTGTCTACATACTGTTCCTTCCGGAAAAATCACATTCCACAGCCCGAGATGTAGCAGGAAGGATTTACAATAGCTCCCAAAATCTTAGAAGGATTTTATACTTAATTCGTTCCTATTCTAACTTATTACATTCAAAAGATCTGAACATCAAGGAAAAATGGTCAATAAACATCATCTGGTCTCGGAAGCAGAAATATTTTGGTCAAATCAAGCGCCATGACGGAGTGGGGGAAAAAAAGTAAAAATGCGCAGGATATGCTTGTCACTTATTCAAGCAGGAGACCACACACCATACTAACAGAAAAGGCGGTACGAGTAAAAACTATCGTGACCTAAAAAAAAAAAAAAACACATGTTAGTTGATTCATGGAACCCTGAGACAGTCTTGTGTCAAATTTGAGAAACTTTATTTATTGCATCACAAAGATATAAAATATGAAAATTGTATGTATGTGTGTTCCTTTCTTATATATATATATAAGCTCCACCGTAACTAGTTTCCCATTTCCTAAGATAATCTCAGTTCCAAGCTGGTGTTATAGAAAGTATTACCATGACCCACAAAAAAAAAAAAGCGATTCTTGTCTGTTGGTGTCGCCATAATATACCCGAGTTCAAGGTTTTTAATCTGGTTTGTTACAAACTGTTGTTCTTGCCTTCTTTTAAACAGTTTATGTAATCTCCAAATGTGAGATGAATCTGCTGTTACCGACACAGCATACTTGTGAATCGTTGACATTGTTTATTTAAACAGCTGTGTTTGAGTAATTAAGTCAATTTTATCCCACAAGGAATCACACAGAGCGATAAACACCTGGTGACCAAGGTGCCACCATGAGGATGCGGATCACCTGGGGAGAGGTCCCGAAAAACCCGTTCAGCCGTTAGGTCAAATTTGAGGCCCGGCTATATTTAGGGCCCCAAGCAAACGTCAGGGTGGGGCTTAACCCCCCAAAAAAAATTGCATCTCAAAACGGGGCAGTTATCTGTTACAATATTGAATTGATCATAAGACTGACCTACTTTCTACCACACTAGGCCATCACACACTCAAAATGCAATCAGCCTTCAGGACAGATGGAACCAGATCAAAGAAACATAAAAATCAACTAGCAACAACATTTTAGGAACCAGGAAACAACATCACAAAGAATGGATAAGCAGTAAAACCATGGCTATATTGCCAAGCGAAATAAATCACTCTAAATCAGAGCGTCAGACCTGGTTGCTGAAATACCAAATGGAATCAAAATGGCAATGTATGCCGACTACCTGGTACTGTGGTGCACCGATGAACATGCAACGATAGCCACGAGAACATAACAGCGGGCTACAAATGCACTTGAGGCATGGGCGAATAGATGGTGTGTCAGCATCAATTCAGACAAATGTTGCACCACACTCTTCACTCTTTCCCCAAAGCAAAAAGCGGGCATCACACAAAATAAACAGAATACCCCTAAGAGATGATAAAGAGAAACACGTACTTCGGAGTCACATTTGATGACAGGTTGACATGGAGAAAACATATCAACAAGGCAGCAACCAAAGCCAGGAGAAAGACAGCCATACTAAGAAAACTAAGTGGAACCACATGGGGAGCCAGTGGGAAAATACTCAATAAAGTATACAAGCAGAGCATACTTCCACACTTGGAAAACTTGCATGGTGTTCAGCATCTAGTACCACATTGAAGGAGTTGGACAAAGTGCAAAATCAAGCACTCAGAGTCATGACAGGAGGGATGAAATCAACCCCCATATTAGAAATGGAGAAAGCTGGGAAAACACAGGTACTGAGAGAACGCAGAGATACAAAGTTGCAAATACAAGCTGAAAAGTTCCTCAGTATGCCAGATCACATCATGAAAAATAGATTTCGGAACCTAGCCTTGGGACGGTTAAAAAGAAGCAGCTTTATACATCAAGCAAAAAGAATATGTAGACAAACTGCTGACCTTCAAGAAATTGGTTGTCCACTTAACAGTATTCAAGAACAAACCCCATGGAGAGAGAAATGCAAACTAACAGTACAAATCCAGACAAATGTGAAAGGAATATTTGAAAAGAAAGAACAACGCAGAATGGCCACCCTCAGTTATATTGATGAAGAATACCCACAAGAACAATAGGTCAGAGTCTCTACAGATGGGTCCGCAGAAAGTGCAGTTAGAAATGGTGGTGCTGGAGTGTACACAACCGGAAAGTACTGCCATAACAACAATGATGCAGAAACTCAGGCTTTCAAGATAGCAACAGAGAAACTGCTAAATACCAATCTTGGCTCCCAGTATGTAGTAATACTGACAGATGCAAAATCAGTACTTGAAGCCTTCCAGTCTAGGAAACTACCAGAATTGCAAACACTGCTGACACAACTTAGCCTTCAGCGAAGAGTTGTAATGCAGTGAATACCTTCACATTGTGGAGTGCCTGGAAATGAGAAAGCTGATCAACTGACAGGAGAAGGTGCGACAAAAGTGCAGCCGGATGTACCAGTCACATACCACCAACAGAAAAGAATCATTAAATCAATCAGGAAATCACCAGCCCCAGCACAAGACGACTATTTTATTTTTGACAGATCAGAACAAGTCATTATCCTTCGCCTCAGAACAGGGCACAACCGACTACGTAACCACATGTACACAAAATTCAAAATAGGCGTATCAGCCGTGTGTACCTGTGGAAAGGTGCCCCAGACAGCAGAGCATGTACTCCAGGACTGCACCAAATTTGACACATTAAGGCAAACCTTTTGGCCAGAAAGAACAACAGTGGAACGTAAACTCTATGGACCACTGAATGAAGTAACAACAACAGTGAAATTTATACAAGAGACAAAACTGCTGATATAGACAACTTATTTCAGGCGAACGAAAAAAGAAGACGAGAACCTTCAGAAAGACAAACTAATCTTAGAATATAGCGAACTAAAAAAAATGACTAGGAAAAGTGCCAGTCCTGACAAAAGAAGATTTATGGAAAATCTTGCAGAAGCAGCAGAAAATGCTGCTAAAGCACATGATCTACAAACCCCACACAAAATTACCCAGCAAATTTGCGGAAGCAGAAACAATTTTCACAGCATACCCATCAGAGATAACCAAGGCAGACTGTTCACCACAGAACAAAAACAAGACATGCAGTGGACTAAACACTTCTCCGACCTCTTGAACAGACCTGATCCTGAAAATCCCCCAGATATTTAACAAGCCTCTCGGGACATTGACATTATTACTGAACCACCAAGCAAACAAGAAATCCTTAAAGCTATTAAACACTTTAAAGAACAACAAAGAATCAGGCAAAGACGAACTGCCAGCAGAACTTCTAAAAGTAGATCCCAACACAACTGCTAGCATTCTAGACCCATTCTTCAAGGATATTTGGGAAAAAAGAAGTGTTGCCTGATGACAGGACTGAAGGAACAATAGTCCAAATTCCCCAAAATAGGAGACTTAACAGACTGCAATAATCGGAGGGGAATTACTCTACTCTCAGTACCAAGCAAAATATTGTGTAAAATCATCATAATGCGGCTTAAAAAAGGAGTAGATAAATGCCTACGAGTAGAACAAGCAGGATTCAGAAAGGGCAGAGCAACAACTGAACACATCTTCGCCATACGTAACATTTTAGAACAATGCAATGAATGGCAGAGAAGAATTTACATAAATTTTGTGGACTTTGAGAAAGCTTTTGATAGCGTCCATAGAGACAGTCTATGGAAAATTTTACGACACTATGGAATTCCAGAAAAAATAGTCAACATAATTGCTTTCTTCTATAAAGACTTTTCATGCAGAATAAAAAAATTACAGTATATCTTTCCCAGTAAAGACAGGTGTAAGACAGGTATGTGTTATGTCATCTCTCCTCTTTAACCTTGTGATTAATTGGATACTAAAGAACACAGTAGACATGACATTGAGAGGCGTACGATGGACTCCATTCACCATGCTTGAGGATCTTGATTTTGCAGATGATATAGCACGCCTTTCACATAAACATGAACATTTACAAGAAAAAAGTAACAGACT